AAATTGTAATTAATTTTTTAAAAAATGTATTTATTGAATCAAAATCAATTATACATATTTTGGGGGTTGAACATTGAGATATCTTGGTCAAATCAATATTACTAGCATATATATTGTTACAGATTGTAATTATTCTTTATGCCCCTTGTCCATTCTCTCCCCTTTCCCCCTCCTCCTCCCCCTCTAATTACCCTAGATTTCTTCTCTCCTTCTGAAAGAATGATGGTTACTCTGTTAATTTGTTGCCTAGATGATCTGTCCAATGCTGAGATGTGTGATCAGGTTCCCCCAATATTATCGTAGAGCAGATGCTTCTTCTGTTACTCTGAAATGGGCTTTGTGGAGAGAGACATCCTCTTCTTTTCTTTATCTCTGCTGGTGACTCTCCTTGTATGAATGCACTCCAGTGGTTGGCGGACCATCTGTGTGGTGGTTGTGGTGTCTTTTGCAGCAGCTATGGTTATTGTGGTGGCTGTGGTGGGCCACCCACAAGGAGGTGATGTTTTTGGCATGCTCCTTGGCACTGGTGGTGTGCCTGGTTGCAGGGTGTGTCTGGTCCACTTCTCCATGCCTCTGGTCCCAGATGGGCCCTGAGGCGCTGGCATTGTGTGCCTGGTTGTGGGATGGGGGGGTCCACTACCCAGTTCTATACCTTGGGTCACTGGGCGGGCTCCAAGGTGCTGGTGTGGTGTGCCTGGTTGTGGGAGGAGGGTCCACTCCCCATCTCCATGCCCCAGGTCCCTGGGCAGGCCCCGAGGTGCTGGTGTGGTCTTTGTAATTAATTTTTGATGTACAGCTAACTGCATGCCTAATCTCAGTAAAAGACTAACCATATACTTCTGTGGTATTGATCTTTTTAAACTTGTTTAGAAATATGTATTGGTTATTTATGATGTCACTATTTCATTGATTTGCAAATTGGTATGAACTTTTCTTCAGTTTGTTTTTTTTTAATTGGTGGTATTGCTTCGGTAGCTTTTATTGAGGAGAATACTTCACAAGGGTTAATTTTGTTTAGTTAAATGAAAAAAAAATTACGAGGCTTAGAGAAACTAACAGCTGTATTTGTTTTGATCTGGACAGATTTGGAGGCCAATCACTGCCACCTTTTATTTCCCTGTGGGTCCAGGAACTGGATTTCTTTATTTGGTCAATTTATATTTCTTATATCAGTATTCTACACGACTTGAAACAGGTATGTTATCCATAGTTGAGTATTGTTTCTTTCTAATTTACTAATCCATATGTTTTCTTACTTGGAGGAATTTTGAGGGTAGTTAGCATTATGTAAAGAAATGGCATAATTTGATAGTAAATGTTCAGTGACTATGCCAGGACTGTACTGGATTACTCGAGTTTGAATCCTCACAACATCATGAGGTATCAGTGGCAATGTCACCATTTTATAGGTGAAAAAAATAGCAGATAAGAGGTTTATATATTTTGCCCATCTCCTTAGTGGCTGAACTGTGTGCTTCTCACTTAATTTGCTGATCTCACTCATTTCTGTCACAAGCTGTCTTTATCCTTTAATGCAAAATTGGGCTAGAGTATATATATCTCCTACATTGGGATTGGAAAACACTACCTTGTGCAATTAAAAGCCTAGACTTAGGGCTGACCCCGTGGCGCACTCGGGAGAGTGTAGTGCCAGGGGGCGCAGCGACGCTCCCGCCACGGGTTCGGATCCTATATAGGAATGGCCAGTGCACTCACTGGCTGGGCGCGGTGCGGGCGACACCAAGCCAAGGGTTGCAATCCCCTTACTGGTCATGAAAAAGACAAAAAAAATAAAAATAAAATAAAAATAAATAAAAGCCTGGACTTATCCTCTGTAATTCAAACAGTGAACTTTAAAATAGGTAGCCGTAATTTAATAATATGGT